TTCAGGATAATACAAAATGAGATCAAGAAAACGTCTAATAAGTTAAAAGAAGCTGAAATTCAGTTACCGCGGTCAATATGAGCCGATTCTCATCGTCAACATCGAATACAAGTTAACACATATAAATTAAGAACCACGAGTTTGAACACTGTCACTGTAACGTAAAAAGGGACGGTTATAAAAATAGTCATTATATACAGAGGAAGGACACAAAACTAGGAATTTGCTTATAATCGTGTATCTTTGCTGCCCAAGCGTACATGGGTGGCATTAAACAGAATCTCTGGTCTGCTGTTTATTTTCGCGAGGAACAAACCGCTAGCCGAAATCCGATCCGGTTAAGTTTAATGAACTTGAAGGTCTGATAAAATTAGTATATTGGCTGTTGTGCTTACAGTGGAACAGTTTGGAAGTCAATGGCTTCTTCAGTCATCCCCGTGTACCTGCGATGAGTCGGTATGTTTTGGCTCTTATTAGCTGAAACTGAGCTAAAATAGTAATACAATGTATATTTATTTCTACTAAATGAAATCAATAAAAAACACATTTAACAAAGGGATTGTTTAGAAAGAAATTGAGTACAAATCAGTTATACATACATACGTAAATATGTATAGATCCGTGAAATTATATTCGCTAAAAACCTTTATGAAAACTCTTATTTGGTTTTTCTATAATTGCGATACTACTAGTAAATCGGCGTTTTGGCTTTGAATTTTAATAATTAGGCAAACATAGTATTGAAACTAATAACATCAATAAAACTGCCAGTGGCCAATGTCTGTAAAGCGAACCATTACGTAATCACGTGAAAACACTACATTCGTGCAAACAAATTAAATACTAATCTAACATTGTTAATGTTATCCTGTGTAACTATATTTTTGACAATAACCTGATTAAATCGAAACTCTATATCATTCTAAACAAAATAGCGTTGTATAAATTCAGAAAATTATACAGAGTTGATCGTTTTCGGCGTATTCGACGTAAGGCCACACCGACTTAATTTTATGGATGACATCCACGCGCGCATTAGTTTTCGCCTGTTCTCAAAAAAAAAAAAAAAAAAAAAAAAAAAAAAATCTCCTACGACGAGTCTCTACAGATCGGTTTTCAATCTGGAACTTGCCAACTCATATTGTTGCAAAACGCCGGCTTTTCGTAAAACTCGTTTTGGACTACCTCAAAACGTGTCAGTTATGTCGTAAATGATCTTCTGTACATGCGTATAGTGTTGCCGGGAATTCCAACATGGCGACCAAGCCACCAAAATACGTGAGCATAAAAGTTCAGAGGGAAAACGGAGGGATTGTTGTAGACTGGTACGCAATTGACGTCGGCCAGGGAGATGTAACGCTTTACACAGCTATAAGGACATATTGTCCAGAGGTGGCTGTCCCGCGATGC